TGGAAGTAAAACAGATATGAGCAAGAAGACGATTGATGCCATGGTTTAGAGCCAACATGACTGCATGGTTGTATGAATATGCCAAAAAGCATATGTCGAAACACGGCAGAGTGTACAGTGGGTATCAGCTGGACATTGGGGCAGGAGCTTTCAAGCGAGCTTTCGTGACTCATCGGAATGCAGTGACCACCGCGGTGAAGAGAATTTCCAGGACAAATGAACGTAGTGGAAAGGAAAAAGAAGAGACGTTGAAGGAAGATTTGGAGAGAAACGTGACGTTGTGTCTCCACAACAGCTTCTGTCGGAACAGAGAATCTAATGTGGATCCCCTACCTTGTTGTAAACAGAGGGTAGAAGAGCAGAAGTGTTGGAGGACTGCTTCCAACAGCGTCAGAATAGCTAATGATGTGTTGCAAGACACAGAAACTGAAATTGCAGAGTCAATGTCGCAGGAGGAGGAGATGGAGCATTGACAAATGGCCGAAAAACAAGATGCAAAAAGAAAGACAATTAGAAGAATTTAGAAGTTTTAGAACTTCTAAACGACGAAAAAAGAAGAAACAAAGAAGTGACGAAAGAGAAGAAGTTAAAACTCAGAATTGTTTTATGTGTGTGACGAAAATTCAAGTGAGAAACTAAGCAACCAAGTTGTGATTGAAAACTGAAACATTTAGTTGAGTTTTGAGCATTAAAGAATTTGTTGCATTTATAAATTTGCGTTTTGATTTTAGTTAGTGGCTTTAGAGACACTTACTATTTATTTAGAAAGGCTTGAGCAAAGAGTATATTTAAGTATTCCAGCCTGCATGATTGTTTTTAATCAACTAGGAGAACTGATCACTTTGTGGTGACATGAAAGGCTTGGATAATCTCTTGAAGAGGGAGATTGTTCATTGTTCTTTCGAACCACAGAGTTCCTTAATTTTAATATTCAAGACAATAACAACTAGAAATTCCGAAGGGAAGAAGCATAGTAGGATAATTTTAGCTTGTTGGTTGGCAGGACTGTCCTGCTAACTAACACCTTTTAGAATCTAGAAGAAAAAGTTTTAAATCAGGGCATTGACGTTGGAAGTCAGAAAAAATGTTTTATCTAAAAATGTTTAAGGCTATAGCAATGTAGTATGATGCCATTCATATTTCGCAGTGAGTCGATATGACGCGGATAAAAGTAATTTTGTGCATTTTGTAAATTCTGTTCGATGACACTGTACCACTTTTACGAACAATGCGAGATTCAATGGGGACATTAACCGCGCTGTCCGGGGAGTATGTGACATTCGACAAGAATGGACAAAAATGCAGATTCAACAGATTCGAAATTTTAGCAGCTAGCCTTCCAAATTGATGGTTTTAGGAGATTAACAACGTTATTGGGACGATTAGTCAAACGGTGAAGGTCATGATATTCTGGTATTTTGAAATTTTAAAAATTCGAAGTGATGATGTAATATTTCTGAGAAGCGTCAAAAAAGGCCATTTTAGAGAAAAACCGGAATAAAATCAGAACAACGATAGTTGCGACGAAGATCACTACGAGAAAATAGAGAATCAGAATTGGAGAAAAAGCAGAATTAGCAGAGATCGTTCCGACTTGCAACTATTGTAGCGACACAATAGTTGCAATTCGGAACGATCTCTGCTAATTCTGCTTTTTCTCCAATTCTGATTCTCTATTTTCTCGTAGTGATCTTCGTCGCAACTATCGTTGTTCTGATTTTATTCCGGTTTTTCTCTAAAATGGCCGTTTTTGACGCTTCTCAGAATTATTACGTCAGCACTTCGAATTTTAAAATTTCAAAATACCAGAATATCTTGACCTTCACCGTTTGACTAATCGTCCCACTAACGTTGTTAATCTCTTAAAACCGTCAAATCGGAAGGTTAGCTGCTAAAGTTTCGAGTCTGTTGAATCTTCATTTTTGTCCATTCTGGTCGAATGTCACAATGATTTAAAAATCTGAAATTCCCAACCCTCTAGTTAGGTCCTGTCAGAGTACTCTCAAGGATTGCGAATCTTGCCTCCAAGCATGACTGCTCATTTCCTTTGAGCTTTCGAGATGTGGCGTTTTTTGTGATTTTTGCAAAATTTTTTCAGAAAATTTAAATTATTATGATTTAAATATCTGAGATTCCCAACCCTGTAGTTAGGTCCTGTCAGAAAACTCTCAAGGATTGCGAATCTTGCCTCCAAGCATGACTGCTCAATTCTTTTTAGTTTTTGAGATATGACGTTTTTTGTGATTTTTTCAAAATTTTTTCAGAAAATTCAAATTATTATGATTTAAAAATCTGAATTTCCCAACGCTGTAGTTAGGTCCTGTCAGAGTACTCTCAAGGATTGCGAATCTTGCCTCCAAGCATGACTGCTCAATTTCTTTGAGTTTTCGAGATGTGGCGTTTTTTGTGATTTTTGCAAAATTTTCAGAAAGTTTAAATTAATTTTTTTTCAAAATTTGAAATTCCCAACGCTATAGTTCGGTGTTGTCAGGCCACTCTAAAAAGTTGCAAATCTTGCCACATGCGACTGCTAAACGCGACTGCTCAAATGCTGAAACCACTAAATTTGAAACCACTAATTTGATGAAGATACAACCTTATTGTCAGCGTACACCCAGGCGTCTCAAATCTTTCCTCTTAATATGATTGCTCAAATCCCATTAGTTTCCGAGATAAGACGTTTTTTCAATTTTTTTTCGGGAAACTTATGTTTAAAAAAATTCACAAAATTTTGAATACCTAGCCTTATTGTAGGGTGCTCTCAGGGACTCTCAGTGGTTGCAAATTTGGCCTCCAAATGTCTCCAGAGGCCCATTAAATTTTCAAGATGACGCTTTTAAAATGGGAATTAAAAAGTTCGAAGTTAACAACCCTGTAATTGGATCAAAAAACTTGAAAAAGATATTCAAAGGTTTTCCGAAGATGACCTAGCGGAATATGAAAAAACCGTCCTAGAAGGAAGAACTTTCAGCGAAATTCAAAAAAACCTTAAATGCATAAGCAAGACCCCAACAATTCCTTCGACGGTCAAATACGGAAACACTGAATCATCAAATGAAAGAGAAAAATGTGAATTATTCAATGACTATTTCGTCAGCGTGTTTGGCACAAAAGAACATCAAACCGGTGAGCTGAATAGATTTATTGTTGACCAAAGTCAAGTTAGCGAAATAATGAGGCAACTTAATGTCAATAAATCAATGGGACTCGACAACATTGGCAATCTCATTTTGAAATCATGTCACAAAACTCTAAGCAAATCACTTACCCTTATATTTCAAACCTGCCTTAACAAAGGAATTTTTCCTGAAATATGGAAAACTAGTGAAGTAACCCCTGTTTTCAAGGAAGGAAGTAAAACCGATGTCAGTTGCTATAGACCAATCAGCCTACTTTGCTGCTGCTCAAAATGGCTTGAAAAAATAATATTTGACAAATTCTATACTAAAGTGAAATTTAGATTACATGAAAGTCAACATGGATTTCGAAAGCGTAGATCCACCACAATTCAACTTCTTCTATTTCTTGACCGAATATACGAATTGAACGATCAACAGGATGTACAAGAACTTGCAGTTCTATACTTGGATTTTGCCAAGGCATTCGACACTGTACCTCATGATATTCTGCTTACGAAGATCAAAATTTTTGGAATTGGCGGGAAATGGCTGTCACTGATATATTCATACCTCAACAACAGAAAGCAATGCGTTAAGATTGAAGACTGTAGCTCAACCCTAAAAGAAGTCACCAGTGGAGTTCTGCAAGGTTCAATTCTGGGACCGCTGCTGTTCTTACTTTTCATAAACGATCTACCTGAAACCATGAATGACACAGACAGTTTTGGGTACGCAGATGACTTTAAGGCCATTCTTCTAAATCAAATTTCCCTTGACACTGCAACTCTGAAAATAGAGAAATGGCTACATGAAAACAAAATGCAACCCAACATCAAAAAATCAACGCTCCTCGGCATCAAAGGTGATTTGAAAGCTAGTCTCCTGAACAAAAATCTTTCTTCAGTAAACTCACAGCGTGACCTAGGACTGATTGTGTCCAACAAGCTCACATGGAACGAAAATTGCTCTCGTCGGACATCCAAAGCAATTAGTGCTCTCTTCCAGATTAAACGAAGTCTGACTATGAAAAGCAGTGTGACCACCAGGCTTAACGCATATACTGGGTATGTAGTACCCATAGTAACATACGCATCCCAAGCATGGACTGCTAGCAGATCGAACATGGAACAACTCGAACGAGTTCAAAAGTTATCAACAAAATGGATTTTGGGGACAAGCAAAACTTATACTGAAAGACTGAAGGACCTGAACCTTCTTCCTTTGAACCTATACATGGAAATGCACGACATTTTAATACTAATAACCCTTCTTGAAAATCGTTACGATGTAGAAATAGAACGAAAACAATCTGAATCATGCGAAATCACCCGACAGTCATAAAGAGGCGAAATTCAAATCCCAAAAAGCCGCTTGCAAAGAACGGACGACAATTTTTTCAGACGAGTGAAACATCTATACAACTGTCTTATCCGAGCCTGCCCAACTTTTAGCCTTAGACCAAGCAAAGCGACTCTGACCTACATATACCAGAAATACTTCAAAAAAATGTACAGTGAAGTCAACAAATGTACATGGAAACTCTTATGCAACTGCAATGTTCACAACAAACTGAGATAAAACATGGACTGTAAAAGGGGTGAAATTCCCTAGAGCCAATGCTCTGAAGCCTATTCTACTAATACTACTACTAATAGCTTTTTAATTTTCGGTGTGAATATCCAGCGCTGTGGGAATACACCAGGTGAAATGCTGAAAAACTCTTGTAGTATCTTCCCTTATCATGATAAATTCCGAGCTTCTAATATACATTTTCGAGAGGGTTGGAAAACAGGAAAATAGCTTTGCTATTTGGCTGGTTGCTTTGTACACTTTAAATTTTGTACTTGTTTTTAAGTGAAAGCACTGTCTAAAAATTAATCGCTTGGTAACGCTGTTTTTTGTAGTTACTAAATGGCTGGATCTGCTACCTGGAAAGCCTTGTCAGATCATCTTTCTGCTGTGAAAGATGTTGAAATAAATAGTCTGTTCAACAGTGATGCTAGCCGCTATGAAAATTTCAACCAACTGGTTGAGTTGCCTGGTCATGGTTCTTTGTTACTGGATTATTCGAAAAATCGAATAACGGCTGAAACGATGAGCCTTTTATTTAAACTTGCCGGTGATGCTGAGGTGCCTAAGATGCGAGAGAAAATGTTCAGCGGAGAGCCGATCAATTTCACTGAGAACAGGAGTGTTTTGCATGTTGCGTTGCGAAATAAATCGGGAAGGCCAATATTGTCCGGAGGCGAAAATGTTATGCCTCTTGTGAATGAAGTGTTAAATAAGATGAAGGGTTTCGTTGACTCAGTTCGATCTGGAGAATGGAAAGGCTACACTGGAAAAAGTATTACCGACGTTGTTAATATTGGAATCGGAGGATCTGACTTGGGCCCAGTTATGGTAACAGAGGCTCTGAAACACTATGCTGGCAATTTGAAATGCCACTTTGTTTCGAATATTGATGGAACCCATATGGCGGAAACACTGAAAAGTGTAAACCCGGAGACAGTGCTCTTCATCATTGCCTCGAAAACTTTCACGACCCAAGAAACTATTACGAATGCTAACTCTGCCAAGGCCTGGTTCTTGTCTGCCGCTGCCGATCAAAACCACGTTGCTAAGCATTTCGTAGCTCTGTCAACCAACAAAGAAAAAGTCACTGAGTTTGGAATTGACGCGAAGAATATGTTTGGATTTTGGGACTGGGTAGGAGGCCGCTACTCCCTATGGTCTGCGATTGGAATGTCAATTGCTTTGTATGTTGGGTTTGAACATTTCGACCAACTTTTACATGGCGCGCACTTCATGGACGAACATTTTTGCAATGCAAAGTTAGAAGAAAACTTGCCAGTGATTTTGGCGCTTGTCGGTATTTGGAATAACAATTTCCTGGGAGCTCAAAGTCAAGCGATTCTTCCGTACGATCAGTATCTGTCACGATTTGCAGCATACTTCCAGCAGGGTGATATGGAATCTAACGGGAAATACCGCACCAGGTCAGGAAAAGAAGTCGAGTGGGAAACTGGACCAATTATTTGGGGAGAGCCTGGTACCAATGGTCAGCACGCATTCTACCAACTCATTCATCAAGGAACCAAACTGATCCCCTGCGACTTTCTGGCACCAGTTCATACTTTGAATCCAATCTCCAACAGAATCCACCACAAGATTCTGTTAGCGAACTTCTTGGCTCAAACTGAAGCGCTCATGAAAGGCAAGTCCCCAGAAGAAGTGAAAGAGGAAATGAAAAAGGCAGGGACATCTCCTGAGAGAATTGAAGAAATTTTACCTCATCGGGTATTCAAAGGAAACAGGCCAACCAACTCAATTATCTACGAGAAGCTAGACCCCTTCACCTTGGGAGCTATGGTTGCGATGTATGAGCACAAGATCTTCGTGCAGGGTGTCATTTGGGACATCAACTCTTACGATCAATGGGGAGTGGAGTTGGGAAAGCAGTTGGCAAAAGTGATAGAGAAAGAATTGGGCGGAACCGAGGAAATAACTTCACACGATCAGTCGACGAACGCACTTATCAACCACATCAAGAAGCGAGCCAATTTCGATTGACAAGTTGACGGATATACTACACATATGATATGCTAGATTTGAGCGATGCGTTTGAAACGCTGATGCTCTTGTCGTACACTTAATCCAGTATTTAGTAACAACAATATTCTAATTATGCACTACATGATATTGTATGATGCTTTACACCCTATAAAGCACGGCTGAAATAATTGATTTCTAATATGTTGGTAGAACCTATATGCTAACTGACTCTCATTTTGTATGCTTAGTTCACTCGAGTTGTTTTGAAACTGAAATTTAAAGGAACCATTTTCTACTGAAGTAGAAAAAATTGATTCTGAATTGTAATTGTATTGAAATTAACAATATATTTTTAAACAGCAATGTTGTAATGCCTTCCAATGCCAATAGTTCTCACGTTTAGTAAGAAAAGGAGAGTCACATTTTTAAATTGGTATTTCATTCTTTTCTTTCAGATAACTGACTGTTGGAGAACAGTTATTTTACTCATACTTCAAACATATATCTTGTTGGTATCACATCAACAGAGACCTCAGATTAAGCAGTAGCAGTTAAAACATGGGACTTACATTCACCAGTCTTTTCCAGCAGTTCCTCGGCAAGAAGTCGATGAGGATATTGATGGTGGGTTTGGATGCGGCTGGTAAGACTACAGTGTTGTACAAGTTGAAGCTGGGCGAGGTGGTGACGACTATTCCGACCATTGGCTTCAACGTGGAAACTGTCGAGTACAAGAACATCAGCTTCACAGTGTGGGACGTCGGCGGTCAGGACAGAATCAGACCTCTCTGGAGACACTACTTCCAGAACACACAAGGCATGTCTGTTCTTCTACAAATCTAGCCGATTGTAATTTTAACCTGAACAGTTGGTCGAAAAAATAATTTTTCATGCAATTATTCATGATATTCATATCATTTTTGCATTATCCGTTATAAAGTTTTTTGTTTGGGGGCTAAATAATTATGTTTCTAACTATGTTGCAGGATTGATATTCGTGGTGGATTCGAATGACAGAGAGCGGATAAATGAGGCGAGGGAGGAGCTTAAGAAGATGTTGGAAGAGGACGAGCTGCGAGATGCGGTGCTGTTGGTGTTTGCCAATAAACAGGACCTGCCAAACGCCTACTCAGTAGCAGAGGTGTCCCAGCAACTCGGACTTCATAACCTAAAGGCCAGGAAGTGGCACGTTCAGGGCACCTGTGCCACCAGGGTAAGTCCACCCTAACGCATTGAATTGAGAGTTTTTGAATGCTATACAAGTAGCGCACAATGTTGAGCCGTTTTTTTGGGTGACGGGAGAGGGTTGAATATTTAACTCTTGCAATGGCTGAAATAAGACTGACTGAAGCACAAATTTGCCCTGCCGAGTTTTTTTTTACCATTGCGGTTATCATAAGTCGTAGTTCTGTGGCACTTCATTAGGTACTCGTTTTAACAATCAAATTTTTGCTGCCTTGATTTTTAAGAGATAGTGCACAAATTAAATAAAATATTTTGTAATCCAAGTTGGCGAAGGAACCGCTGGCCTCTCTATGTTTGGCTTGGTTTAAATCAGAATATTTGATTTTTAGGGAGATGGTCTGTACGAAGGACTTGACCAGCTGAGAGAACTGCTCGAGCGAAAATAATCAAGCGATAAGAGAAAAAAAGTAAGGAGAAACACGATGGCCCGGCGGTAATTTGAATTTGAGTCATTTTTAAAATTCCTTTCGACCGGAACTCCGTTTATGTTAAATGCTAGTGTTAAATTGAATAGTCATAACACTTTCCAAATCGCCTGTCGCCATGGTACTTGTCAAGTTAATCATTAATTATCATGTGTGTTGGAGCGCTCGATATAAGTCAGAATGTATTGTATTCTGTGTAAATATTCTTAAAACGGTGAATGGGAAGGAAGTACATGATGGAGTTTTTAAAAAAAGCAATATTTGCAAAGTGTTTTTTAGATCAATGTGCTTTAAAACTTTTAAATCAGTCGAGATTTTTGGAGAGCAATTTTGCGTGTTCCTACAAAGGCCCGACGTTATCAGAAGTTCATAAGTTTTAAGCTATCGTGACAAGCGAATTAATATATCGCTCTATAATGCATTCTTGTTGTCAAGATAGCACGAGTTTCGAGGTTTTTATCTCCGTTTAAAATCCATGTTGAATTATGCTTATATATACATCACTATATCATATTTGATGCAAATTTGTTATTTCGACGATTATGTTCATATAAATATAAAATTTAACATTAGCCAGAGCCAATTATCAATTATTTGAAAACCCACGTGTTAAAGTGTCCAAAGAAATAATTTGTTTTTCATTTAAACGTGGTTTCAGGTTGTGTTATGTCGTTGAAAATATCGAAAGGCAAGAAGTCAAGTAGACAAGATGTTTTATCGGCATCTGAAAAAGAAAGAGGCAGCACTTATTCAAAAGTTGAAGTTTCTGATAGGATTATAATGCAGGAGTATACGAATTTATGCCATGTTTTAAGCCTGTGGTCGGAAGAGACTTCGGAGCTGTCTGAAATGTTTGTTTCAAAAGAAAATGTACCTAAGCTTCCCTGGGACCAATATGCTCGGGAAAAGATGGAAAAACGATTGTTACATTTGGAAAATTATGTGATTTTGTTTGAACCGGCACCTAAAACGAGTAGAGAGCCACTTAGGTAAGCAATTATACAAAATACCTCGGTTTAAAATATACGATATTTTTGAACTGAATTGTTTTCAAGGTCGAGCTCGTCTGTTTGGAGTAATACACTGAAAAGGCATGCTGACCAAATGACGTAAGTACAATCCGATATCAAATCGAAATTGACATCTGAATAAAGTAATTAGTTCCTGTTTGATAAAAACAAGTATTATAAAACTTCCTGTTTGATAAAAACGGGTTATGAAAAAATTATTGGGATCAGGTTTTTTTTAAAATTTTTGTGAGACGCTCTGAAAATTTTTTTCGCTTCTCTCAAAAATTTAAGTTTTCTCTCAAACTACTCTGCCGATTTTCAAAAAATGATTCCAATGGAAATTCCGCCCACTCCACTGTGTGCCAGCTTAATCCACTAATCTTTTTTTTTACCCTACTTTCTACCGCTTTCAAAATGTATGGGGGAGTAGTTAACTCAAGTTTTTGGATTTTTCCTTTTCTCGAAAACTACCCTCCAAATCTAATGTTTTGGGTTCAATCGATAGAGTGGTTTGTGTGACGCTCCCCTGTTTAAGCATCTACACCAGAATTTTTACACAAAAATTTATGGCCTTCAAAGGAAAGTCAAATTTTAGATTTTTTAACCGTTTTTTGAAACTTTTCTCGAAAATTACCCTCGCAAATTTGAAATTTTGATTTCAATCGAAAGGAAACGTTGTAAGCTCGCTTGCTTAAACGGCTACACCCAATTTTTTTTATGAAAAAGGTTATAGCTTTCAGAAAAGTCAAATATTCAGTTTGTTCCTCGTTTTTTTCTAAACATTTTGACTTAAATAAAAAATTACACACCCACAGGGGCGAATTTAGGGGGGGAGACCCCCCCTCAGGCATTCGAACCCCTGCTGACCCAAAGGGTCCCCTTTGTACTATTTTGAGATATCCTTTGGGGACGGACCCTAAAATTTTTCTAAAGGCGCCTAAGGCGCCAATATGTACTAATTTTGAGGGGGTAGCGCGCGCCGAAAAAACGCTATTTTTTGGTAAACATTTTCCAAAAAGTGCCTAAAAACGCCTTTGTTGGCCTGTTTTTTCAAAATTATGCCTGAGGCGCAGAAATTTTGGCCAAAACAGGGTCTTTTTAGTGCTTTGGGAGAGCTCAGAAAATCAATTTGATCGACCTAAAAAAAAAGGTCGACAAAATTTTCAAAATTTTTTGAAAATCCGCGCCCCCTCGAGAAAATCTTAGATCCGCCCCTGCCCACCCAAATCTGAGATTTTGGGTTCAATAGATACAACAGGTTTAGGAATTTCAATTAAATTACACAGAAAGTTATGGCTCTTAGAAAAATGGAAGTTTTCATTTTTTGCACCGTTTGACGTGCGAAAAAAGTTTTTGTGTGCGTGTTTTGACGGGGGTACTCAAAACTAATTTGAGTGGCACAATTGTTTGACGAGTATTTTTTTAAGTTTTCAGTCTTTGATTTGATAGTTTTAACCTAACTCTTAAAATTATTCGTTTTGATGGGGTAAAAATTTTGGTTTGAATTTTGCTAAACAAATTGTATCCATTCAATTTAGCTAAATTTTAAAGCAAGAATTGTTTTCATCAGTTTTCATCTAAAGTCAGCCCAATTGGGGAAAACCTCGTTTTAAATTTCAGTGTTCTGTCCGGATATTTTAAATTAGCACCTCAAACCCTCAAAAATATTTGCCAACATCTGCAGCGAACAAATGTATTACAGCGGCGGCTTCATGTCCTTGTTTTTAAATATTTTTTTGATTTGATTCTAGGGTTTGGAGAAATGTAGAATTTAAGGCTGAAAAGACGAATCTCGAGAAGAAGATTTTACATTTCAGAACAGAAAACGAAATTCTTTCGAAGCGATACATGCCTGTTGTTGAGAACAATGCAAGTAGATTATGCGTTTTTTTAATCAGTCATTATTAATATTTTCACCAATTTATGAGTTATGGAATTTTTTAGCTTCCAGAAACAATAAAAGAACTTATGCAATCATGTGAGCGTCTAAAAGGCAAAATATTATGCGAGCTCAAGAAATATAACGCTTGTGATGAAATGCACAAAGTTCACGAGGAGACCATGCCCCACATAAAAGAAGAATTTACTGACGGCGTTGGCGATAAAAAACTGACATCTTCGGAGATCCCCAGTAATTCATTGTTATGTCTTCAAGATGACAAAATGGACTATTTTTATGATCAACAGCAAAAAGTACTTCGATTGCTGACCAAATATTGTAAATTGCTGCTTCGTGAAGTAAGTAAGATGATTTCCCATCGCTGTCCAGTGCCAATCGGTTGGTTTTAACATTTTTTGACATTTTTTAAGTTCAATTGATTTCCTTTGTTTACACTAGTGAAGTTAGAGACTTCGAGCGAGTAAAGCAATCGAGTTACGTTCGTTATATTTAAAGGTTGGCCATTTAGGCTAAAATTTTTGATTTTACTAAAAAGAAAACTAGTTTTGGAAGCTTCATTTAGCGCTTCCTGGGCTATATAATAGTGAAAAAATTAAGAAACATTTTAGATGTTTTTTCGTTTATTTAGTTTTTGGAGAAAACTTGTATTTTATGCCAAATTTTCTAAATTTCTACTCGTTTGTTCAGTTATGTAATCACCAAGCGGAAGAAACGACGCTAATTGGAAGCTAAAAAAGCATTTTGTTATTAAAAGTAATGAACGTAGTGAAGACTCCTATATAGGTCTTATATAATTTTTTTTTCGGAAAAAGTCTTAAAATATTGATGCACTTAAGTATATATGCACTTTTGAGTTCAATTGAAATTCATCTATTGAAATTGACATAAAAAGCACTCTCCAATTACGAACGTACAAATGGCGCAAAAATTCGTGAACGATTTCTAGTTTCGAAAGTGGAATTTAATTTTAAGATTTCCAGCGGAATAAAAACTTAACCCTTTGATCCAGTTTTCTCAAGTTGGCTTAATGTTATCAAAAAAGCGGAAATCAAAAATCGTTCTAGAAATTCAAAGAGCTTAAAGGGAATCTATTTTTTTTGAAATTCGAAAATTTTTTTTCGAGAAAGTCAGTGTTTTTTTAAATGTTTACTTGCGTTCATTACTCTTACATTAATCAGACAGAATTTTCTACAATGTGATCAAAATCCTTTTGTTTATGGACTTTCGATCATAAAAATATAAGTATCTGCTAAATAAATAATTAATTTTTTTACAGCCTCCATTGAGTTCGAAAGTTCGGAATGAAATTTGCTCATTTTTTCGTAAGTTCCGGTTCATTTTCTTCTAACTTAACTGCTGTTAATCTGAAGGAGAAATTTGGCGCAACTTTCAACCCATCGCTACCTCCCGAGGACGCAACAGCCAATCTGAACGACTCATTGATGAGTGAGAACACTACATCCTGTTCCTTTTTCTCCTCTCCAGACAGAGCATCGCCGAGAAAACTAGCCGTGAACGTGAAGGCCTATGACCTGAAATCAGGAGAGCTGCGGGAAGCAAACACAATGTAAGCTGGATTGGTCAAAACGCCAAATTTTTTATGCTTAGAACTAAATAGTTTTTTTTTTAGAAAAAATTTCTAAACTTGCGAGAGCAAAGGTATTGCAACAGGGTACTAAGACTTTCTTCCGCAATAAACAATAGAAAGTTGTTTTTGTTATTGGTTGTAAGTTTTGTTACTCTAAATTGAAAAAAAATTTGGGTTAATGTTTTTGCTTAAAATTGCTTATTTTTTTTTCTCTGGATTTTCATCTGAAATTGCTTAAGTTGAAGGTTGGTATTGGATGTTGGTAGTGGTTGCAAAATAGTTTTAACTTTCGCTGATTTTTGTAGTTTTTTCGATGGTTCATTATGCCTAAGTTTTAAATTTTTTTTGCATTTTTTCAGTAATTATGGTAGCTGATCCTTGATATGTAGTTTTTGCGTTCTTCAACTATTTTTCAGCAAATTCGAAAAAATTTTCAATTCTTTCTACAAAATCGATGGTTTTTAAGTGAGCAGAAGGTAACGTTGTTCTGATATTATTGGGCAGCTTTTGTAAACTTTTTCAGATATGTTTTTGCTCAAAAATCTCGGTCTTTTGCTAGCGATTGATTTTATTATGGATGTGTGTTAAACGAACTTTCAATTTTTAATGTATTTTTTCTCCAATACTACAAGGATAGCCGATTGTTGTAAAAGTAGTTCAGAAAATTCCGACCACAATAAAAAACAATAAAAAATTCTGTACATTCAAATTGTGTAAAGGCCTAGAACTTAGGCATATTCGATAATACTAAATTAGGTTTATTCAACAACAGTTTTCCTCAAAAAATAAGAAGAAAAACGTATATATTTCGGTTTCCGTGAAACCTATTTGTTATTTATACATGCACTTGCAATTTTAAAGCTCAGTTTTGCCGATTAGTCGCTTGTGCTTGCGATGCGCAGCTTTGTATTGTTGTAGAATACATAAGCTAGAGATCCGTCCTTTCTGTGTACTTGGCTAGATGATCTGATTTTTTAAAGGTATGGACGGCTAGTCGAAAGAAGAGTAAAACAAAGTGTTGCGACTGGTGCTATACAGTCTGCGTTGTCTCAGGTCAGAAAAGACTTGAAGGCCAATGCGATCGAGGTCAAAGAGATCCAAGCTCAGCATAACGACAGTGACGTCGTCAGGGACTCAAACGTCAAGATAGTCGACCGACCCAGCTCATTGCAATTGAGGTAACATAAGTCTCATTCCTATTAAAACAGAATGTTCACGGAAATCATCAGCTCAGACGTCTAATTATATCTACATTAAAAGACTTCAAGAGCCAAAAAACGGAGCAAATGTCATTAAGAGCTTTTTAGACTACAGGTAGTAGATTGGCCTTTTGACTGAGTATAAGCGATAGCTTATTCGTTTAGCAAGCATTCACTTGAAATGCTTGTTGTAGGAGTCAAATATTACACCTGCGAGAGAGACAGTCCGTGTTGAGAGGGGAGGTGGAAGAGAGGCTAAAGAGTTTGCAGCTGCTGTGCAAAGCAGTGGGCAACAGCTGCAACTGTTCACACGAGAACCTCTCTTTTCTAGTTAAGAGAGACAGGCTGCAGAACTTCGTCAGTCAACAAAACAAGGTATTCTATTTCTATATAAAGAACTGATTACTTTAGATGAACGCTTCCCTCTTTATTTTTTCTTTGAATCAACATAAAGATTGAAAGCTGGTGATAATGGGCCCAAGTGACTTGTTTTCCAATGGGACTACCGCGGTGACAACCACTAGATATTCTTATGCTTTTGTCGCGGATTTTTACGATTGTAGAGTATATTACCAACGACGTTTTTTCCCCCTGTGCTAGAAAAGTATACTAAGTTGGAAAAATTGCCTGAAATACAAGTTTATTTTGCGATTTTATTTACACAAGCAAGCATTGTGTTGTATCACGAGTCCTATTACGACTTTTTGCCAATTCAACTCGCATTAAAATAGTCCTTTTTTTTGGTGGCACTTCGCTGCATAGTATTGGTAGTTCAATAAATTGTGCTCTCCGCTTTATGAGTGACTTATGTTTTGGTTCTAAGCGTCAGTAGCACAGTTGTGTAGGGCAGTCAACCTTGATGCTCGAGGCATGGGGTTCTATTCCGATAGAGGTCATAAATAGTTTTATTTTCTTGTCTTTCTCTTTTTTTTCTACTAACAGACTAGTTTAGATCCTGAGCTACCTGAACACAGTGCGTGAGCGGGGAGATAGAACTCGGAATATTCTAGAAGGAGAGCAGACTGGACTGCGCAAACAGACCCTTCATGCTGAGGCTGCTTTTGCAGAAGTGCACAGTCTGGACCAGTTCACGAAACAGCTACAGGTGAGCTCAAATTTATCAAATCAGGAAAAATGGGTTGAAGAGGAACAGACCATTAAAAGAATATCATGGTCTACATTAGGTTTAGAGTTTCTTTTGTTCCTCAGAAAGCTTCATTTTTTTGTAACTTTTTAGATCCGCGCCTGTAACAATGTATCAAAAAATGTTACCTTTACTTCTATAATGATCTGTGTCCTATTTGCAGGAAGATCTGAAAAGACTGAATTTTTCTGGACAACGCAGGCAGCGGTTAACTATCGCTCACAAAGACGAATTGGCGCAAAAACTTCTCATTGTTTTCAAGAATGCACAACTCCGAACAGAAACCTGCGCTAGCACATTATCCCAAGCTAGTCATGTAAAATCTCAGAAATATATCGCCGTCAAAGAGGAACCTCTGAATGAATCAACTTCGTCATGCTCATCAATTGTATCAAAAGATAGTTCAAATTTTGGGCGAAATTTGAAGCGAGACATAACCAATTCGATTTCAGCCGCGAAAACCGTTTTCAAGCATGAGTTTGGGCATGCAAATAGCGTGGAGCTGCTGACATATGATGATTTGCTACAGTTCGTACATAGACTGGAGAAAGATATTTCGTTGAGGAGCAAGGAAGTTGCAGCTGCTATGCGAGTGAAGAGAGATGAAATCAAAGCGCTGTGAGTTCCTAAACAATTTAAGAAGGCCTAGATTAAAACGTTCACTAACCATTCAGACCAACCATCGAGCTAATGTTTACGAGGCGTTAAGTCAAGAAATTTCTAGAACTTTCTATCATTTTAAAGAGGAACATTCTAAATTTTTATGAAGTCCGACACTCTTTAAACAAGATGTTAAACTCGATTCAGCTTTAAGGCTAGACATTAACTGCCCACTTATTATCCAAAATTTTACGTTTTCAGATTCATTTCCGTCTGAAACAAATCAACTAAAAACAAAAACCTCCATGCTTAGAAAAACTAAATGTTAGCGAACCGAATCGCGCTATGAAATATTTCGAAGTTTCAACGCTTAATTGGATTCAATAGAAAAATTTAAGTTTTTTGCCATCCGGATCGCTTTATGAACTAACTTGAAATATTTCAAAAATTGTTTCCGTTTGGTCTATAAATTCACTTGAAACATTTCAAAATTACATAACTGGAATAGTTTGCTCAAAAAGTTTTTCGAAAGCCGGTTCAGTCTATGAAATAACTTGAATTATTTTCTTAGTTTAATTATCTTAAATTCGAAAATTTCAGTTTTTGCCAACTCACTCGGCTCTATGAAACAACCTGAAATTTTTCAGAAGTTTCCTTATTTTAATAACTTTTAAAAAAAGAACAATATTTCGCCGTCAGATTCGCCTCATGAAAGAAAAAATGTTTCAATGCTTCATAGCTTGAATTGCCTGCTTAGAAAAACTTAATTTGTTCGCGAACTTATATAGTCTCGAATATTTTAAAATATTTTCAAGTTTTGTAGCTTGAATAGCTTACTTATTAAGAATGCGTGAAAAAAATTTCAAGCTGGCAATTCAAGCTATGAAACTTAGAATTATTTCAAGTTGTTCATGAGGCAGATTTTATGGCGACAACTTTTTCGTTTTGAACCCACTCAAGCGATGAAACTTTAATTTATTCCAAGTTGATTCTTCAGGAAAAATATTCAGGTTGTTTCAAAGAGCCGAATCAGTTTGCAAATTAATTAAATTGTTTCAATTACCGTTATTCAATTTAAGAAATTTAGTATTTCAAGTTATTTCATAGACTGAATTGGTTCGCGAATAGTTCTTAAACAAACTATTCCAGCTTTGTATTTTTGAAGAATTTCAAGTTAATTTATAGACTAAATCGAAGTTTTGAAATATTTCAAATTATTTCAAGCAGCAATCCGGATGGCGAAAAGTTTTCTATTGAATCCAATAAAAGTAAGAAACTTTTTCAAGTTAATTCTTAGCCCAAATCGGAAAATTAAATTTGGCTAAATTTTTCGTTTTCTAAGCATGAAGGTTGCCGTTTTTAGTTGATTCGTTTCTTACTGAAATGAATCTCAAAACGTAAAATTTTGGACAACAAGTGGGCAAGTACTGTTAAGCTTTAAGCTGAATCGAGCTCATCGCAATTGAAGAGATTCGGTTTTTTTAAATATAGATTGTTCCTCTTTAAAATGATTGAAATTTCTTGCCTAAATGGCTCTCAGACATTGAGCTCGATGGTTGCTCTGAATGATAATTGAACGCGTTTCTTCTTTGCCATCTTGAATGTCGCGCATGATAGAAAACTTAAAATGTTGCATCCATAGCGCATTAACGTTCATTTAATAAATAAGAAATAATTTAAAATATTTCAAAGTTTCATAGCGCGAATTGGGTGCTTAGGAAAACTTGAATTTTCCGGGAACTTGTTTATTCAGGAATTAATTCAAATTTTTAAAAATTTTGTAGACTGAATAGGTTGCCGATATAAAGTTTAATGATTTTTCGTGGATCGATCCGCTCTGTGAAATAGTTTGAAGTGTTTCAAAATTTTCATAGCTTGAATAATGGCTTCAATAGAAAACGTCAATTTTTTCAGCATCTGATTCACTTCCTTTCAAAGTTTCATAGCTTCAATAGCTTGCGTAAAAAAGTTTTAAGTTTTCCCGAACCTATTCGGTCTAAATATATGTTGAAATGTTTTTAAATTTTTTGCTAAGTAGCTTGCATGAAAAAACTTGTGCGTTTGCGAACCAGGTCGCTCTATGGAATAACTTGAAAGTTTTCAAAGTTTCTTGGCTTGAACAAGTTGCTTTATCATTTTTTTGATGGTGAAATTGGTCTATCAAATGAGTTGAGAACTTTCAAAGTTTTGCTCATTAGCTTGCATAGAAGAACTTGAATCGTTTGCAAACCAGTTTGTCCTTTGAAATACCTTGAAATATTTCGAAATACCTCGAAAAGTTTTATCACTGGATGATGATGTTTGAGAAATATTGAGTTTTTCGCGAACCAATTTTTCTATCAAATAAGTTGGAATCTTTCAAAGTTTTTCGCCTAATCGCTTGCATAGAAAAGCTTATCTTTTGCGAACTAGATCGCTCTATGAAATAACTTGAAATGTTTCGAAGTTTCTTAACTTGAATAGCTTATTACGAAAAACTCAAATTTTTGGCCAACTGATTCGCTCCATGATACATTTTGAAATTGTTCGAAGTTTCATTGCTAGAATGGTTTCATTAAAAAAACCTAAACTTTTTTGCCATCCGCTTTGTTCCATGAATTAACTTGAATTTCTTCAAAGTTTGATAGCTTGAATAGCTTGCTTAGAGAGTTTTACTTTTTTCGCAATCCGATTCGCTTAAAGAAGTAATTTGAAGTATTTCAAAGTTCATAGCTTACTAAGAAAAAGTTAACTTTTCCCCAAATGATTCGCTTTATGATACAACATGAAATTGTTCTATTTTTCAGTGCTTGAATGGCTTGATCAGAACATCAAATAATTTTTTGCCAGCCGATTGATTATTGAATACTGTGATATTCCTATGCTATGGGTGTTAGTTAGTAATAAAACAGAAGAGTAATAAATTGTAATTTAACTCTTGTTGAAACTTTGGTTTTTGTTTAGAGATCATGTTTATCTTTTCATATCTCTCTTCAGATTGCAAACGTCCAATTGACTGTTGCGTTCGGCCAGCATGAATGGCCTTGAATAATACTAACAATACATAACAGAATATTAATACCACTTATTCTCCAAGGTTACTGTGGCAACAGTACTACACCGTACCACATTCCCCTGAGGACAACAAAATTTTATATAATACCTTATAAAATTTTATAATCAATATGTATGAGTTTGTATCTCAGTTTACTAAGTTGTTTAGTGTTTGACTCAGTTTCCTTTGTTATTTTTCTTTACTTCCGCTTTGTTTCTCGCAGCGTTCCACGACCCAGAATTGTCCAACGATGTAGCCCCAAATTTCCGTTTGAATAGGTGTCTCTCTAATAGGTTGAACGTGTTGTTTTCCGGCGTTGTTTCTTTGTTGTTGAGATTTAAATTCGCTAATCTCGTTCTGTAAGCCTCTAGTGCTGCCAAATTTATCTCCGTGACATCGTCCTCACAACTAATAAGTTTGACCGAATGGGATACTGGGCTACCATATCTCTTTGGCCCCTGGTTCTTCGTTTGTCTATTACTCCTAACTGTCGTTTCCTCCTCTTCTTTATCCGACTCGTCAGAAAACCCTGGTGGGGGAAAAGTATCGGCTGGCCCTGCTTGTTGAGTTAGTAATTTTCCGCTTCTTTTTGCACCCCTCTGGTCAAGACCTGATTAGAGAGTGACTCCCAATCTTTTGATGTCATGTCACTTATTCTTTTTCGTCGGTTTGTCGGGTAATGGGTTTACTCACTGATGCTTCCTTAGGAGCAGACGACTCAGTGTAGACTTCTTCATTGCTTGTATCCCGCTTTTTGGATTCTTTTGTTGCTGCTTTGGCAGCTTTTGGTTCCCTCAGTTCTTGCGTTGTGGACTTACTCTGATAGCTTCTCGGGTTATGTACGAACGGTCCCGCTCGATTTGGCTTATTCCTTTTCCCTCCTAGGTTAATGCCCCCGCCCGTCTTTGTATCTTTCGACGTTACTATGCTAGGCGAATTTTGAAACTTGTCCACCAACCAACTATCTTCTATTTCCTGGTCTCTTGGCCTCTGATCTTTTACGTCATGTTCTTCGGCCGACTCACTGTCACCGTCTTCATCCTGTGTTACTGTCTTATGTTGTTTACTTCTTGGTTCTTCCCCTGTTGGGCTTCTCTTTTTCTCCGAACCTTCTATTCTGGACGGTACAGGCAGTTTTGATCTCGCTATGTCGCTCTTCCGATAAAATGCACCAGCAGCCGTTTTTACTGCCGATGGTGTCTCCGATACAACTTTCCCTTTTAGAGGTGTTGTTAGGGCTTTTCAACTTTTTCTCTGTTCGTGTGCGAAGGAAGCTACCCGACAAATTGTCAGTCACTGTAGGCTGTTTGTCCTCAATAAATCCTCGCTCCCATGGATATAATAGTTCTTTTCTCAGCTCGGGATTTATCGTGCTGGTCTCGTCTACGACTCTTCGTAACTCGCTGTCTGAAATGTCCCTTCGAGTGGCATTCCATCGCGCATTGGCCTCTAGTAGCTGCTTCAGTTCCTTTGCTCCGGCCCTTTCTTGAGCTGCCGTAGTATTACGCAAAAATAGTGGGCTGACGTCCCGACTATTTTGACCCTTTCGGATAATTTTGACATTGTCTCGCGATTGATCAATGCGTCTCTTCAACTGCGAAGCTGTTAGCGCCGATCTTTCCAAATGTTCTTTATCTAAACGGTCAGAATCATTAAGAAATTTATCTCTTACAATTTTAAATTCGACCGAAATGCGCCTCAAATGGTGACAATTTGATCGTTTTCTGTTTGTTCCATCTTAAATCCCTAATTATTGTGCTCAGACACAGTTTAATCGACTGTACATTTTCATCGAGAAGCATTACACCCAATCTTCGTTTAATAGTTTGTATTGTGCGTTCAACCAAGCCACATCCTCGATGATCACCGACTGGACAGAATTTTTGAGAAATATTATTTTCTGTGCAAAATTTTTTCATTGCTTTTCCTTTAAATCCTGAAAACTGATCCGTTTTGATCGATTCTGGTATCCCATGTGTGTCAA